GATGGGGTTTCACCATGTTGACCAGGATGGTCTCGATCTCTTGACCTCGTGATCCACCCGCCTCGGCCTCCCAAAGTGCTGGGATTACAGGCTTGAGCCACCGCGCCCGGCCTTTGCTTTTAGAAGCTGGCTCACAGGATTTTCTTAGGAAGCTTTCTGAGAGCATGCCATTGGGAGAAGGGGGTGCTTGGGATGGGGAGTACTGTCCTCCTTGTTGCTGGGGAAACAAAAGTAAGGCTTAAGAGGTACCCTATCAGGCTGGATGTAATAATACATACGCCTATAATCCCAGCACTTTGGGAGATGGAAGCAGGCAAATCGCTTGAGCCCAGGAGTTTGAGACCAGCCTGGCCAACATGGCAAAACCCTGACTCCATGAAAAATACAAAAATTAGCCTGGTGTGGTGGCATACACCTGTAGCCCTAGTTACTTGGAAGGCTGAGGTGGGATGATCGTTTGAGCCCGGGAGGCAGATGTTGTAGTGAGCAGAGTTCATGCTATTGCACTCCAGCCTGGGCAACAGAGTGAGAGCCTATCTCAAAAAAATAAAGAAATAAAAATTTAAAAAAGAGGTACCCTATCATCTCAGTGGTAGCAAAGCACCTCAGGGCTCTGGTAGGGCAGGTGGGAGGTTGAGTGAGACCCTGTAGCTTCTAGGGCCTTCTAAAGTGAAAATACTTGCTCTCTGAAGCCTTCCCATGGGTTCTTTCTTCCAGCCACATCCATCCCTCCAGTTTTGAGCATCCATAGCCCTTAGAGTCTATGCCTCACACATGATTATTCCAAAGTAGAAGGTTTTCTGGGGTTCATTCTATATTTTAAGCCAGACTGTGAGCCCACTGAGGACAGGGCTACGTTTTATCCTTGTTTGTGTCCCTGCTACCTCTAGCATATGGCTGGATTCACAGCAGGCACTCAATAAGCACAGGGGCTGGTACAGCTGTCAGCTGAGCTTAACCAGCTTGGAGCCCCCAAGGGCGCTGAGTTTGTGTCCACAAGCCCAAGAGAAGGTAGAAATTCAGCAGCAGCATTTTCATCAAGGCCCTGCTCACATGAGCTTCTTTGTTTTCTTGCCTGGAGGGGGGAGGGGCAGGGGAACAGACCAAGTGTGCAGAGCTGCTTGACATCACAGCAACTGTACGAATGCTCACTCATGCTCCATTTCATGTGCTGGAGTTGCCCCACATCGCGGTATCATCCTGTGCTGGTGTGAGCCTGGGGCCTCTGTCCTGCTCCTCCAGAAGTGACTAAGGCTGAACCCCACTGAACCCCACTTCTCCTGGGGAGACTGAACCCCAGGAGAAGAGACCAGGGTCTGATCTCAACTGAGGGGAAAGATGAAGAGAAATTCTGTTGCCGTGGATATTGTAGCTTTCTTTAAGGCTACTGACAAGACTCATCAGTGGCATCTGGCCCATCTCCATGGACTTGGAGTAAAAAACTTGCTTCAAATCCCACTTTGGCTACAAATATGTTAATGCACTTGGGCAAGGCACTTTCTGTCTTGGGGCCACAAGGCATTTTGGTGGCAGAAGTGAGACCTGAATGTGGGGCTTTGCACTCCAGGTCCTTTGACCTTTCCATTACTCCATAGAAACACCATAGGCATTTGGTATCCCACCAAGTTACCTATCCTTTCCCTTTTGATTTATTCCTTCTAGTACCTGAGGTGCTTTTCAGAACAGAGACTTTTTCTGCAGGCCTGCTGTCAAGGGGCTACCCTGACATCATTCCATGATTCTCCTACATTGTCTTTCTGGAAATATTTTTCTTTAAGCCTAGATTTCTTTGCGCTATCAAATGGGCGTGTCTCTCTTTTTTTTGAGACAGAGTCTTGCTCTGTCAGCCAGGCTGAAGTGCAGTGGCGCAGTCTCGGCTCACTGCCACCTCCATCTCCCTGGCTCAAGCAATTCTCCTGCCTCAGCCCCCCGAGTAGCTGGGATTACAGGCATGTGCCACGATGCCGGGCTAAGTTTTGTAGTTTTAGTAGAGACAGGGTTTCACCATGTTGGCCAGGCTGGTCGGGTGTGTCTCTTTTGTCAACTACAAATCCTTCCCAGAAGAGATGGGCAAAACAATGCTGCTTTGGTGAAGCAAGTGATATCTTTCTGTAGTTGGTGCTCAATAAAAATCTGTGGTATGAATGAATAAACAACAGCAAGAGGCAACAGAATTGATGATGTCATGGCATCACCTTAATCATTACTGCAAGAGAAATGCCACTCTTGGCGAAGACCCCCTGTGAAATTGATCATCTCAGAGCAAGTGCCCCGTTTCCAATCCTGATGAAATGGGTTCTGTCCCCCACTGCCTTCTCAGCTATTTTCTTCATGTTGATGCATTCAACAAGGCAGTGCAATAAGAATGTGCTCATGTGGGGAGAGAAAGGGGTCCCGGCTTTGGCTCCGGAGCTGCATGTGCTTAGGCAAGTCCTCAGTTTCCTCTACTTTAACATTTAAATACCTTCTGGCACTTAGCATCGTGCAACGTCATGATTACATGAAGTGTTCTTGCTGGGCCATGGGCTGTCTACTCAGCTGGGGCAGGAATCACTCATCCAGAGCCATGCCTTGTGGCACAGTAAAGCCTGCGGGTGCCACTGAGACTGCTTCTGCTGAGATTAGACAAGGTGGTTTGGCACCAAGTCTGTGACCAGTGCCTATTTTAGCAACATGGCTAGTAAATATTGACTCTGTGGCATGAAAATGGAAAGCAGAGATGACTATGTCAACTCACTCAGAGGATAGAAGTTCATCAACCTCTGATAAGACATAGTTATGCAATGCGTAGGTGTGTCACTAATAAATAAGTTGTTTGGGGGCAGGGAGAATGGAAAACAAGACAAGAAAGCATTCCAAGGGCAATTAACAGCTGCTTTCCTGTCTGCACTGTCTGGCTGGCTTATTCAATTGTTCGCTTTAAAATGAAAGGATAGTTACATACACACAGGCATATAGAAAAAAAGGGTAGAAAGAAATACACCAAAGCATTCACCGTGGCATTCCTTAGAGACAGTGAAATTGCCACAGATTTGTCCTTTTATATACTTTTTCTATTTTCCACATTGTTTACAATGAGCACATATTACTTTTATAATCTGAAAAGAACAATGTATTAGACATAAAATAATTTTTTTCTGAAGAGTCTGAAGGAACTTTCATAATCATGCAAGTACCTCAGACCTTTGTGTTTTGCCTACTGGACACTGGTTGGTACCATAGTTATCAAAAGAGGCAAGTTCATGTAAGAGAGGCCACTCCTCTGAATAAATCCTGATTTAAGTGTGTTTACTTACTGATTTATATCCATAAAAGCAGATGTGGTGGGAAAATATTGCAATCATAAGATTTCAGAATTTTTTTTCTGTGTAAACAGACACTTAACTGCTTTGAGTACATTCTGTACTCCACAGCAGCTAACCCCGCTTGGCCCACAACCGGGCATGTCTGAGACAGGGCACTCGGGTAAGTGGTTGCATGTGACCTGAAGGTGGGGGGCACCAGTTCTGGAAAACTGACTAGACCTCAGGATTTGGAGTGTTGACATGGGGATGGGGGTAAGAATGGCATTATAATAATAATTACCACTGATTAAGCACCAACCAAGCACCAGGCACTGTCCACATATTGTTATAATCTTACAAAACATTATTGGATAGGCATTAGCCACCTTTTAGGGATGAGGAAACTAAGGCCAGGAGAAGAAGCCACTTCTCTAAATCCTCAGAGGCAGTCAGCAGCAGACCCTGGACTCAAGCCTCACCTCAAAGCATTTGATCTTTTGACCATGCTAGGGTGCCTCTCAAAGAGTTTTGCAACAGAGAACAGAAACTGCTCAAGGAAGCCTGAGCTAACAAATAAGGTGCCTGCATCTCCATCCAGGACTGAGGATCTTTGGAGTAAGAGGCAGCCCCAGGTGTAAAAGGTGGATGAGCAGCTGCAGGTAGGATCCTGGCCATGTTAGCTCTGACCCCAGGACTGGGTGTGTCTGCTTTCCTCAGCCTGGTGCACCCTAGAGGGGCCAGGTGTCCTGAGTTGTGTGACCCAGAGAACTGTGGGACAGGTGCCCATTTCTAGTCTGGGAGGGACTTTCATCTGCTGGCTGCCTGTATGATGGGGGAGGCCATTTGTTGGGAGGCAGGGAGCTGGAGTATTGGGTTGCAGCATCCAGGCCTGTGAGTGAGGAGTTGGTCTCTCAAATTCTTTGTACCTGGTTGATGAAAACAACCTGTAAGAGTCTTAAGGCTGTTTAGCCTTTTCCCTGGGTTGGTAGAGCTACTTTCTGAGTTTGTGGCAGCAGTTGCTTCTTTGGGCTCACAGGCCCTGTTCTCACAGCTCTTGGGACTGGCCAGGCGCTGACTTTTTCCACCTCCACTGGAGATCTGTCTACATGCAAACTGTCATTTGAGAATGCTTATCTGCTCGCCTCACCAGGAAACGAGGGGCCTGCTTTCCGAGAATGAATGCCTCAGAGGTGGGTTTCATCTAAGTTGGTTCCGCTTAATTTCTTAGGAGAAGGGATGTATGTTTTGGGGAAGAGGCCAAATTGTGGTATGTGGTGTTTTTAAAAAATGGCTTTTATTGGCCAGGCAGCTGAGTTGACTGAAGCCCAGCAGTACCCATTATGGAAATGGTTCATCTTGTGGTTCTCTAGAGTCGTGGCTGGAATATTTTTGGTCTTCTGGCAAAGGCATATAGGATTTTGCAATATGATGGAGCAAGTTTCAAAGTTACAGGAATTGTAAGGAGCCGTGGTGTTTGTCTTCTCCTCCTTCTCCAGGAGTTGTACTCCTCTGAGGCTCAGGCCAGTGTGGCTGTTTTTCAACACAATGGAAATCATTGTAATAATCACCTGAATTTGCATAGAACTGTACAGTTTACAAAGCACATTGACATGCACTGTCTCTTTCAATGCTCATGGCTACATTTCTAGATGGGCAGGGATAATTGACCCTCTTTTACAAAAGAAAAAACTGTGGCATCGAGATGTTCAGTGGCCTGGACACACAGCTAGGAAGAGGCAGCATCAGAGTTGAGTCAAGGTTTTCTGACTCCAGACCAGTAAAGGCAGGGAGGTTTGCACCTGTTAAGGTGCAGACCTGCCTATGTCCTGGAATGCGGCTCTCTGGGCACAGGGAGATGTGAGCACCTTAAGACCTGACTGTGACTGTCCTAGGTCCAGCAGGGCAACCTTGGTGGGGGGTGGGACAGCCTTTGAGGTGCAGGCGGGGCTTCGTGTGGTGCTTTGCTCCCTTCTTATGCCTTCCTTGGCTGTTGTCTCTATTTGGTCTTTACATTGTCCTCCTGTAAGGCAGCAGGGTAGGCAGATGCTATCAGCTGCATTTTACAGATGAGGAAACTGATGTTTCAAAAGGTTAGGTGACTCACTCAACATCATGTATTCATTAGTCACAAAACAAACACATGTTAGGTGCCTACTGAAAACACCTAGGGGACTAAGGTCACAGCCAATGTCTGGGGAAGAAGAGACGTGAAGGCAAGTAAGAAGAGGGAACACAGTAGGTCCCCAGAACTCTCTGCTGAGTGAGAGCCCCCGAGGACAGCCCCCATGTTGTGGATCTCTTCATATCCACAACAGCAATGAGAACAAGGTGGGCTTAGGCCAGTGTTCTAGAAAAACTTTGTTATGATGTAAACAATAGTGATGAAAATTCCTGCCATTTATTGTGCTCCTGTTGTACAGCAGACCATATGCTGGCCATTTTATATGTGCTCGTTCCTGTCTCCCTTCCTGCTCCACTCCTTTTCCTTTCCTTTCCTTTTTCTTTCCTTCTTTCCTTCCTCCTTTCTTTCTTCTCTGCCACCCAGACTAGAATGCAAAGGCATAATTATGGCTCACTACAGTTTTGACCTCTTGGGCTCAAATGATCTTCCTGCCTCAGCCTCTAAAGTGGCTAGGACTACAAGCATGAGTGAACATGCCCAGCTAATTTTTTAATTTTTTGTAGAGATAGGGTCTTGCTGCTTGCCTAGAGTGGTCTTGAACTCCTGGCCTGAATCAGTCCTCCTGTCTCAGCCTTCCAAAGTGTTCAGATTAGAGGCTTGACCAGCTTTACCCAGCCTGTGCTATTTCTGTCACAATAACCTTGTAAGGCAGCGATTATTTACCCCACTTTACAGATGAGAACACTGAGGCTCACTGAGGTCAAATCACTCATATGCCGAGTCACCCTGGGATTAAAATCCAGGTCTCTTTGGCTTCAAAGCCAGAACAATTTCCACTGAACTACACTGCCTCTCTGTGATAAGGGACTCTAAGAAACTTGCTGGAGGAGAGTGCCAGTTACTTTGGGAAACTCACGGATAAGGGGGGGGTCAGGTATGGAAGATGCTGGAGAGGAGGACAGGACCATGGCTCTGGGCAGAGAATCTGTAAGAGGACATGTGCCCTGCTGGTGGTGGCGGTACCTGAGAGAGAGAGGAGGGCTCTCCTGCTCACAGCCCTGCTGATCTGCAATCCCCAGGGGCCAGCCCTCTCTGGGCTATGTGGGTCCTGAAGAGCAGAGGCTGCTTTGTCCTCTCAGATGCTTTCCTGAAGCCCCCCCAAGTCTTCCTCCTTATGCCCCCTTTCCCTGCTGTGTAAGTTTCCTGGGGCTTCCATAACAAATGACCACAAACTGAGTGGCTTCAAACAACATAAATTTATTCTCCCCCAGTTGTAGAGGTCAGAGTCCAAAATCAGGGTGTCAGCAGGGCCGATTCCTTGGGGAGGCTCTGAGACACAATTGGTTCCATATCTGTCTCCTAATGTCTGGTGGCTGCGACACATCACTCCAGTCTGCCTCCATTTTCATGTCGCTTTCTCCCTGTGTGTCTTGGTGAGTTCTCTTCTGTCTAATCTCTGCCTGCCTCATTCTTATGGCATCTGACATTGGATTTGGGGCCCACCCAGGTAATTCAGGATGATCTCATCACAAGATCCTTAAATTAATTAAATCTGCAAAGGCCCCTTTTCCAAGTGAGGTCACAGTCATATGTGCCAGAGGTTAGGATATGGACATGTATTTTGAGAATCCACTATTCAACCCACTGCGACTGCCCACTCCTGTTTCTTCTTGGAGTTGCATGAGAACATGGGTTGATCCACTCACTGCAGGCTGGGCCCTGAGCTGACAGCCTCTGCTCCGCCTATAGCAGTGCCCTGAGTGTTATGTCAAGTGGTCTTGACCCCTGTAGACCAGCAATGGGAAGACCTTACATACAGAGCTCACAGAGCTCTGGGATTAGCTGCTTCTGAACATCAAAGCGGTAATTCCCACCTGGAACATGCTATTGTTGTCCCATGTGACATAAGCGAGGGAAAGGATGTCCTTGGAATGGCAGGGCCCTGTGGGTCGGCCAGGATGTTTGTTCTCCTGCCAGACTGCAGCCGGCACACATCCCTGACCTTTCCTGTTGCCTTACCCTTACTACCATTCTGCAAAGTTCTGCTCTTCTCTGTCCTTCTGTCCAGATCTCCCCAACATTCCCTGCCCACCTCCTCTTAGCATTCTTCCTTACTGCACGCCTGTTGACTGTCTATATATCTGGTAATTTATCTGTCCTACCTGAACAATTTATTCATCTGTCAGGTCTTTTTTTTTTTAGATGGAGTCTCCCTCTGTCACCCAGGCTGGAGTCAAGTGGCCTGATCTCAGCTCACTGCAATTTCCAGACCCCCGGTTCAAGGGCTTCTCCTGCCTCATCCTCCCTAGTAACTGGTATTATAGGCGCCTGCCACCACCCCCAGCTAATATTTCTATTTTTAGTAGAGACAAGGTTTCCCCATGTTGGCCAGGCTGGTCTTGAACTCCTGACCTCAGGTGATCCACCTGCTTTGGCCTTCCAAAGTGCTAGGATTAAAGGTGTGAGCCACTGCACCCAGCTAGGTCTTATTTTTATGTAATAATATTAATTCTTCTGAGGGATCAGGCCTTGTTTTCCCAATTAGATGTAAGCACCCTCACCCCACAGTACCATGTGGTCTTTGGTAAACACCTGTCAGTGCCTCCTTGGCTGCTCAACTGGCATAGGAAAGTATTTGGTTTCATCTCCTCTCTGTTTCTAAACTGTTGGGTGCTTTTGAACAAGTGACCAACTCCCAGGGTTTTCATTTCTTCCTGTGGAATACCAGAGTGTTGGACTATTGGATACTATCAAAGGTCCTTTTCAGACCGAACACTGATTGTACCAACAGCTCTCAGGTCCCTGAAAGCTCACGTCTGATAAAGCCAGAGCCTGGACCAACATGAATGTTCTCCCTGTGGCCAAGTTAGGGTCAGAGATCCCATCCCCTGACCCCTGGCCCCAGCAGTGCTGGCTCCACAGGTAGTATTCCTAAAAACCCAAACTGCAGGATGGACCACACTTTTCCCTGTAAAGCATTCTCTGTGATAACCCCTGGAGGGTCAGGTTCTCCAGGGGTAGGTGAAGGCCACCTGGGAGCCTAGTTAGAAGACAACTAAGTAAATAAACACTTGACCTGTATTGGTGCAACCTCAGCAAGGCCTCTGGCGGCCTAGCCTCCTGGCCAGAACCCTGACTGGAAGGTGTTTCTTTCTGGCACAGCCGCCAACCACACCCAGAGAAGATTGGGGCCTCTCCCATTTGCTAAGTGAAATGACTAATTAGTCCTGAAGCAGATTTCTATCTGCTCATAATGGCATCATGATTTATTCATGTGAGTCTGGACCACTTACTGAGACTGGGCCCATGTTTCCTGTGGCTTTGATGTGATATGCAGCCAACTGTATTTTTCCAGAATGAATAATTTCTCAAATCCAGCTTGCTTTCTCAGTCACCGCCGCCAGGAAACCTATAACTCTGGTCACTTAACAGCACCCTCCTTCCTGGGTCTGCAGTCATTTTAGAAGGAATGCATTCTTATCTGGGGCTCAGTTCCTTCTCTGGCAATGTCAGGGGTAGGCTACATGGTATCTCAGG